CAGTTCTTCATCCGTAATGTCGGCGTTTTTCAAAATAGCATACGTCGCTCGTTTTGCTGATTTAATCATTGTTTCGTGAACTCCTCCAAAATGAGGCACTAAGGGGGGGGGGATTAAAATGCCACTTTAATCCCCGATTGGCTGTTGATTTCTGAACTTTATCTTTATCAATAGAAATGATTAGTTCGCGAAGTTCTTTATCAGCTCCAATAAAGTTCCCACCGTTGTCCGACACAACCTCTTTTGGTAAACCACGTCGATTTACCATTCGATAAAATGCATTTAAAAATGAGTTTGTATCAAGTGCATAGGCCATTTCCAAGTGTACGGCACGGGTAGCTAAACAGGTAAACAAACACAAATATCGTTTAGCCCTACGTTTTCCTCGCCCCTGGATCGTAATAAATGGTCCTCCGTAATCAACCGCAACTCTAGAAAATGCACGAAGTGATGATTTAATTCGCTTTTCAGGTAAAGGGGCCATTATTTGATGTGCAGATTTTGCTTTCCGCTTTTTGCACTCGGAACATTCTTTTTCCCAATCTCTAATTTCTTCACGTCCACACACAATCCAGTAACGTTCTGAGAGTGATGATAAGGTACGATTGGTACCACTTACATGAAAACCCTTTTCGTGATGATGTTTTACAATTAATTTCGTTACCCAATTCTTCCGTGGTAAAATAATAGGGTACCGTACGTCGTATGGCAGAAATTCAGCAAACTTTAACCTTCCATCCGAACGCATAGACCGTCATCGTCAATCTTTGGTTGTAGCCCTATTATTTTGCTGTCATTTTTAAGTATTTTACCACATGATAGTTGTTGAAATTCCGTTGAGAATCCATCTTGTTGGGCAGTTTTAATGATATTAATTTCAGCATCATTAATTTCATCAGGAGACAATTCCCCTCTGTTTCGTTGACTATGTGGAAGTCGGCAATTGTTAACAAACCTCAAAACCCAAGCTTGTAGTCGTGTGAGCGAAACCCATCTAGAAAATCGAGTCGGTTCTAGACGCCACGAAGTTTGGTCACCTTTCAGATGCGTATTCGATTGCGCACAATTTATCATGATATGTATCTTTACGTCTTTTTCTTCTTTAGTTTGTTCTTTAGATGCACATTTTTCAAATTTGTTAGTGGGCCAATTTGTTTTTTCTTCGATGAGAAATTCTGGGCCCTGCCACCATAACTGGTTATCAGCGAGACTTCTAATATTCGACCCTCTTGTTGCTACATCTGCGGGATTTTGTTTAGTGGGTACATATCTCCACTGACTAGGGTTTGTTATTCCCTGAATCTCACCTACTTGGTTGGAAACGAATGGCTTGAACTGTCTACTCCTGCCTCTGATCCAATATAAAACATTTGAGCTATCAGACCAGAAAGATATTTCCTTCATCGGAATTTCTATCACTTTTGAGGTAGTAGATGCTAGTCGAAGTCCGATTACAGCCGCCATCAATTCCAACCGTGGGATGCTTACTGCTGTCAAGGGAGCGACGCGTGTCTTTGAGGCCACATCCAACATATACAGTTCCATCTTCATAGGTATTCCTGCAATATATAACTGTAGCGTAGGCATCTTGCGATGCATCAACAAATACATGTAATGTTAAAGATGATAATGATTTATTGTGGTATACCTGTAGACATCTTGGTACCTTTATGATTTAGTTCTTCAAACCATCTGTTGACTCTTAATTCCATATTGTCATCTAAGTTGTCATCCCAATCAATTCCAGCAGCCCACATCTCCTGTATCAACACTTTTGCTCTGATGATGTACGGCGATAGAAATCCTAATGGATCAAATACTGTGGCAATTTTACTTAGTATATTTCGTTTGGTCATTTTAAAATCTGCTAATGGTGGAGTACAACGAAATATGAAAACATCTTCTTCAGCAACCCATAGTATGCCTAAAGTTTTTATCGTTGGTAAGGGATTGCTTTCCAAAATAATCTCAGAAGATCTGTCTTTTAAAAGGATGCTATGTAATACTTTTGTTGAATTTGACAACCATTTTCTAGCATACATACCAGCTCTACTCCAAAGTCCAGACAGCTGTCTATATAGCTCCAGTTCCTCTACATAATTTTTTACAGAGTCCATACTATCATCCATGTAGGTTGATTTCAGCACAGTTTCTGAAGCTAAGGGAAACTCTGCAGCAAACTTGCGAGCGTGTATTTGTGACACAAATTGTGCTAGAAATGGTGAAGCATTTACTCCAAAAACAATCTTGTTAAATTCGTATTCATCTGGACGTTTAGTTAAATCCAATTCTCTCCACAAAAATCTATATGGTCTGTCGTCAGGATCAATTTCTATCCGCAGGTACATTTCTGCAATATCACAAACTAAGGCGACTTACACATCTAGATGTGTATAAGAGACAGGCCCTATTATTTTGCTGTCATTTTTAAGTATTTTACCACATGATAGTTGGAGGCAAACATCATTCTTCCTTGCTGAAGCATCGAAGACTATCCGAGTCTTTGTTGTAGACCTGTCTGGTTTAACAATAGCAAAATGAGGTAAATACCATTTTCCCATTGGTTGTTTTTCATGTTCAGTAATCTTTCGAATATATCCTTTCTGTACATATTGGTCAATTGTTGGAGAGTATGATGCTGCTATGTCCGGATTTCTTAAACGTTTCTCAGCACACTCCAGTCTACGAACTGCCATGTCATAATTTTCTGGTAACGTTTCTCGTTCAGCTTTCCATGGAATTGGTACTTGGTATCGGCCGTTTACAAGCTTAATACCTATTTCAACTTTGTTTACTGCTAATTTTTCATCTTGTGTAAATACAGGTACCTCATTTTTAATTCCGTAATGTTCGATCTCCCAGAATTGCTTAAGCTTACTATCCAATTTATCAAGTTCTGCTCCTCTACGAGCACAACTATGATATGTTCTAGCAAAGTTAACTGCATGTGCTGTTTGTTGTTGACTATTTGGATTTCCGATACAAGTCCATCCAAGTGGTGTTAACCTAGCAATAGGTTCACCGATACCTCCTCTTACTTCGTTAATCGAAAAGTGTAAATCTAATCCGATCAAAATATCTATAATTTGTTTTGATCTATAGCTGGGAAAATCGATGTCCTCAAGGTGTTTCCACTTAGATTTTACAGTGTTCCAATTGGTAACATGCATATCACCAGTGACTTTATCCGTTGTTAATGCATTCACTTTCATGTTAACTTTACCATCAATGCTTTCCAATCCTACACACACAGGCATAGTATCAAACACATCAATTTTTCCATTGAGAACGTTAACTTTTATTTTTTCGAACTTCCCTTGGAGCCCTAGCTCACCAGCAATATCCGAATTGATGTACGTCTGAGAACTTCCATCATCAAGTAGCGCATTAACAGTTATTTTTTTCAATCCATTTTTTAAGATGACTGGTACTGTAC